GGGGGGGGGGTGGTGCAAATGCAAGCATTGGTCCCTGAGACCCACGGTACGCCACTGACTCCCACCAACCACCACACTGGAAGGCCTCATATTCAACCCGCAGCAGTCGTCCAGTCTGACCTGTCAACTCTGCTGAATTCCTGAATCTGAGCTTGAGCATGCCTCTAGCCCTCCCCTCCCTGCAGTGAGTCTGAAATGTATCGCAGTGCTCCACAATCGCACAGTCCCCTTTTCATGACTTCCAGCCCTTCTGCACCCCACTTCCTATCTCTGTGGTCCATAATTAGAGCCAAGCACAAAAGGAAAGACAAGACTGATTCCTAGAAGGGCTCCACTAGGATTGGAGGCACAGTGTTGACAGCTGTGGTATAGTCTTCCAGGCAAGACATAGATGAAAAGAGGTGGCTCATGAGGCTCAGGCTTGTTGAGGGTGATTCTCAGGTTCACTCCTAAATATCAGGATAAGCATATTAATACTGGCTGCTACTGCTTCTGGGCATAAGTAGGGAAAATTTGACTCTGCCTCCAGCACCCCATTCAGCACAGCTTAGCCAGTGCACAGCAAGGGGTCAGAAGTACAACCCAAAGGGGTGGTCCTCTACCACAGAGGAAGTGAGAGAAGTTGTTACTGTCAAAATCATAATACAGTTAATAAGAACATAAGAATTGCCATTCACTAGGTCAGAGTATAGGTCCATCTTGCCCAGCATCCTGTGTCACAGTGGCAGAGAGTAGATGCTGAAAGGGAGAGAGAACCAGGGTTTTTTCCACTGTTCTGCTCCCTAGCAGCCTCCAGCATCTAAAATAAAGGAAGTTTTGATTCAGAGGCTGTACCCCTAACTCCCATACCCCTAACTCCCATGCTCAATAGTCACTGATGCTGTGTTCCTCCAAGAATTTGTCCAATTCCTTTTTGAATCTGCTAAACTGCCAGCTTCCACAACATCTGGTGGCAGTGAGTTCCACACCTGAATTGCATGCTGTGTGAAAAAGAACTTCATTATTTTTAAACTTACTACCTAGTAGTTTCATTTTATGACCCCTAGTTCTTGTATTGATAGTAAATAATAAATCCCTGTTTACTTCCTTTTCACCGGGTGCCTCTCCACAAGAGGCTATGTCACTTAAGCAACGAGCTATGGAGGCATAGCTTATCGCTATGGCAACATAGTGTCGGCAGGCATGAACCGCAATGCTAATGCTAGTGAGCAGTTGCTCATTGCTACTGCACAGTAGGGTCGGAAACAACCCGTGAGCCACCTAGACTCTGCATTAACAACTGCGCAGTCGGGCGCATGCATACATGCACCCACTATTTCGTATATTGTAAACTTTTAGTTTCTCTTTTCTAAACTGGGTAGGCCTAACCTCTTAGTGTCTCTTCATTTGGAAGCCCCTCCATGCCACTAATGATCCTGGTTGACCTTCTCTAGTTCATCTATATCCTTTTTTTCTATATTCTTTTACACATCTTTCTATAGCCTATATCCAGCTGGTCCTGCTTTCGGGAGATTCCATTGCTGGAGGTGGCTTGTAGGGTTATGATCGAGCTCAAAGAGAGCAAATCCTTTTAGAGAAGGGAATTTGGACCATCTCAGGCCTTTTTCTTAATAGAACCCAACATCACTGGTCTTTTTCATTAGTTATTTTCTAAGCCTTTTCTTACCTGTGTCCACGGAGCATTAGGAATTTCAGATGATGTTACAGGAAAAAAGCACTGTCCTTTCTCCTCCAATTAACTGTACCTTTTAAATAGTTTATCATTCCACTTTGAAAGAATTACAACAACAAAAAAAAGGCCACAGGAGATAATAACAGGAGAACTCAATGTATGTTTGGTTTAATTTCTCACAATAGGAAACACCCCGCCAAATTAATCTCTGGTTTAACTCCCACTAGCTCCTGTTGAATTACAACAGGGTTTAATGTGGTTGAGTGTCCTTTTATGTGACAGGAGCTCCTATGAAGACTCTTAACACCTGATTAAATAGCAGTTGGAGTCCGCTGAGTCATGCTATTTCGGTCACTCCTTCTGTTGTCATTGGTAAATCACGGCCTAGTGCTGAAATTTTAACAAATGCAGCTCTATTAGGTTCATACCAATTTAGTGTCAGATTGTTAAATGTTAATGTACTGTACCCTATAGTTTTAAATAGAATTAGGTATGTTTACAGCTTTGGTTAAATGCACCTTGTTCCTCCACATTAAATTTTATTGCCAGGATCCTCCATCAGCAAATAGGAGTAAATCATATTAGTGTCGGGAGCTGTGTGGGGGCTGTTTCTACATCCCAAGGCAGGGGGATTTTATTTTTCTTTATTACAACTTTCTAATTGGTAGGTGTGGTTGGAATGTCATTATCTCTCTACTTACAAGCAAATTATTTGTTTTAGAATAACTGTAACATAACTGTGCTGTTCTCTTCATTAAGAAGGACAATCAACTTGTGTCCTTTGCTAGGAGAATAGTTTCTGCTTGCCCAAACTGAAATACCAATGAATAAGGTGTCGGTTACATGCACAGTCAAATTCTGAAGGTTCTTACTTCACATTCATTCAGGTCCTTGGTTAAAATGAAGTAAATGGGACTTTAAGTCTGAAATCCTAGGATCTGATATTTTGAATAGACTGATAGAGATGCTGGCCAAACCTGTCTAATGATTAAGCAGTTGCTAGCCTGAGTAATTCAGAACCATTCAGGTGCTGAGGAATGCTGTCCTAGGTAAAGTGTACTCATCCTTTGTGATGATTTCTGGGCCAAATTCTGCTTCATTTGGTACTCCTTTGCCTGCCACTAGGACCGGATACAGACAAGAAGGACAGGATTGATGTTGTTATTCCTCATGTAAAGACCAAATAACTTCTGAGGAGAACCTCTTCTGTTTGTAGGTAAGAAGTTATTCTACAGTAAATAAAGTCAGGCTTTAATCATCAGTCCACTTGTTTTTCCTGAACTGCTTGCTGCTAACAGCCAGGAAAAAGTTATCATAGGAATGAATGGGAATGGGTTGGGCGTCAGGAAACCTGACTTTGTGCATGGCTCTGGGCAAGAATTTTTTCCAATGTGGTCTCAGTTTTCCTGGCTGTAGTATGGAAATAAACTCTCATCTTATAGTATGAGGCATAATTAGTGTTTGTAAACAGCGTTCCCTCTGAGCTGCAGGCCGTGTGCAGCTGGGCAGGTATGCTCATGCCACGCTGCCAGGCATGCCTGCATGGCCACGCATGCCACACAGCTTAGAGGGAACGCTGTTTATAAAGTGTTCTGAGGCCCTCTGTTGAAAACCATTATCCAATTTTATTAAGCAGACAAAATCCTAGCTGGGAAGAAAGCAAGCATTATCCCAACATAAAGCACACTGGCCACCAGATTTGTTGGAATGAAAATATTGTTTCACTGTTAGTGGGCACATCTACACATGTGCTTTAATGCACAATAAAGTATTTTACTGCGCATTAAAGCGTCACAT